TCTTCGGTACAACCGCCATGCACCCAGCACCGTGCACTCGAACGAACAATTACAGTCCTATCGCATGAGAAGCCAAGGATTCGCGAACTTCACCATCTCAGCCCAGTGGCTTTTGTCATATGGCGGAAGCTCGGTTGGAGTACAACACGCAGCTCCAGGTCGACTGCTGGAGCTCGCGACAAACACTCGGTCAAACGTGAACGGCCGACTGCACGTGATAAGAGAAGGACGGGGGAGAACTTCCGATGGGCTACATGAGGCAGGGGGTTTGGGACAGGAGGAAAGCAGCAATGGGTTGAAGTGTGCCACCGCCTACGTACCTACGCACGTCAAGCCCGAAGAGAACACTGCCAAAAATCTTCCTGCTCACACGGGCAGATCCAAGCCGCGTGCCATGGGTTTCCCAGAGCTACACCACTGTTTGATGCCGAGCGCAACGATATCAGCAAACTCGCACGAAGTCAGGAAATCACTCAACACAAGGCAATCCATACGTGTCACGAACACTCAGGATGCTAATTGTGCCGACTGCGCGTTCCAAACATACTTCACTGCGAAACACAACATGAATTTGGTGACGAATGGATGAATCTTGCCCCGCTCGTGGCTCAGCATGAGCTGCGGGAAGAAGCCGGCAGGTTGAATTACGTTTGCACAGGTTGCAAGCACCCATGTCGGTCTCGCCCGAAGCGTGTTGAGCACAGGGAAGCCCCCGATCAAATACATGGACATGCACAGAGACACATCGAGCAAGCATGACGTAATCACTGCAACGAGAATAGTGTACTTCTTGTAGAAGCGAATCGCGCATCCTGACGAAGCAAGCTCGTCTGCGTCGTCCTGCTTGCCCTGAAGTTGCGCGGACAGGCGCCGCAAGACGCTGCCCTGGTCACTACGCTCAGAAAATTCAACGCACCTGGAAGCGCCCAGCCGAGACCATGGCAAGACTCGCAAGCATCCCAATGAAAAACCCAATGCGCCGTTTTCATCAGACTCGTCCTGTGGGCTGTGGACAGCACAGGCAGCCACCAGCTCGACACTGAATTCGCCCGTACACTTTCCGGGCTGCTTTACCAAAGGGCCCAGGCGACACATGCCAACCGATCGCGAAGAAATTATGTGCGCATAGCGATTGCAGTTTGGACCCGCCACGCACGACCCCATGTGAAACTCGAGCCAAGACCGCTACGGAATGTGAGCACGCTTCAGCCTGCTGCTGGCTCGAGAATGCTGCAAGCGAGCCGCAGGACAATAGCTTGGCAATTCGGCGGTGGACAAACCTCCCTTTAATAAACCTCCCTTTAGTGAAAACGGCCTGGGACTGAAACGGACGGACCTGAACCCGCAAAAATGACGGCCGCGACGCCCTCTCGCGAAATGAAAACGGCAAATTCCTGAATCGACGTGTCAGGGTAGGAGGTCTGTCCACCCCCGAGCAATGGAAGACTACCCCGTCGAGGTCGAGCCTACGAGGGAAGCACAATCCACGAGCTTCGTGTGCGAACGCACATCGTGCATCACATATTGCAGCGCTGTGGTCCCGCAACGGGCCGGTCAGCCGAAGCCGCTGCGAAGAGGCTGCCCCGCGCGAAGGCCCAAGCCCCGCCCAGTCGCACGAGGCACCCTCTCGCGAGACTCGGACCTGCACAGAGAACTTCCCAAGAGGAAAGCCAAGAACATTGCCCAGTAGAGTTATGTCGGGCGTGTCCCCCCTACAGGGGGATGTTCGACGAAATATGGAAAAAATCAAGAACAATTCTCTAAAAAGGTAACAAAAAATCCAAAAAAAAGTCCTCAGACTATTTTTGAACTATTTTTTGATTATGTTTGGAGTATGTTGTATTTCTCGTCGAAAATCCCCCTGTAGGGGGACAGGCCCGACTTAACAATAGAGGAAAGAGAACCATGCACACACACACACACCGATTCTGGCCAGGCCGGTCCTGAGCCCAGGATCGGCGCAGACGCCCTCTGACCTTGGCCAGGAAGGCATGTGCACAGATCCTGGGTCAAGGACGGACGTTGTCGGGATCGGTGCGTGTGCATAGTCCTCTTCGCCCGACCCAAACAGTGTTTTTGGAAGCCTGGAAATTGGCACCAACACTAGCACAGGGGGTTGCCTCCACATGGGAAAGATGATCCTAGATTTCGGTGTTGGTGGTAATATTTCGGTCACCTCAGAGGCCAGAATCTTACCACCATCGGCGAGACCGGGATCTTCTTCCCTCGGTGGAGGCACAACGCCGATCTTGGTGTTGGTGTCAACCTCTAGGCCTGCGATGTTTGCACTTACGAATTCTTAATGCGGGATGACGATTAAGAAAAAAAAGGAGGGGGGAACGATTAAAAAAATAGTTTCCCACACCGGGGGGGACCGCTCAGAAGCAGGGCTCGCCTGTGCGGTGTGTCGTCACCAGGGGGGGCGCGCGCCCGAGGACGGCGGGGGGGGACGATTAAAAAAATAGTTTCCCAATCCGGGGCCGGTTTTTCTAATCGTCATCCCGGGCGCCGCCGCGTGAACGTTCCCAGACCCCCGACGTCATGAATTTTTCATGACGTCGACCCCCAGAGGTCCGGACCCATTCCCCGGGACCGGTTTTTCGTCCTGAGTCGTTTTTTGACGGTCCCGAGGGCCGGTAAGGGCCCCCAGAGGCTGAAAATCATGAAAAACCTCGCGTCGTGATTTTTTCATAACTCGAGGGGGTCTGGGTTTGCACTTACGAATTCTTACTTGCGCTTTGAGAGGATCGGGTGGGTGTCCAGAGGATTCGCCACGCTCGGGCTTGTTGCCGCCCCGCTGCCGCTCCGCTGGGGGTGTCCCGGGGATTATTCCCTGCGCTCCGGCCCGGGTGCCGCCCGCTGCGGGCCGTTTTGCCGCCTGTCCGGGTGCCACGACAGCTTGCCATGCTCTGGCCCGTTGCCTTACGTCGGGCATGTCCCCCCCACAGGGGGATGTTCGACGAATTATTAAAAAACATGCACCACAAAGAATCGAAAAATGCTCCACAAATAATCCGGGGACGATTTGTGTTAGTATTTTTTGACCTTTTTGGGGGATATTTTTTTGGGGGTATTTTTTTTTTTCGTCGAAAATCCCCCTGTAGGGGGACACGCCCGACATAACCGTTGCCGCCTGTGGGGGTGCCCCGAAGATTCGCCACGTTCTGGCCCGTTGCCGGCCGCTGATCGCCGGGTGGGGGTGTCCCGAGTAGACGCGCTCGCTCTCCGAGGAACGACCGCAGAGGCGCTTGTGCATAGCATACTCCAGATTTCGTAATAAAAGGGAGGGGGGTCTCATTTCGGGGGGGGTCTCTTCCAGGCTGTCTTGGAGGGCCTGGGGGGGTCTGGGGACGACGTTTTGGAGGGTTCTCCCACGAGGGGGGGTCTGAAACGGCTCGTCTGGGAGGGTCCAGACCCCCTCCCTTTTATTACGAAGTCTGGAGTAACATAGCTTCCACATTCACAGTGCCATGTATTACTGTTGTGGGTCCACGCTGGCAATCATATTGGTACAGGCCTCGAAAAAAAAATAGCGAGCACGCCTGCCACATTCATCGTCAACGCCTCCCCCTCCCCCAATGTTCAAGGTTGGCGGTGGGTCCGATGAATTCCGCTTCGACCGCAATCTCCCCCGCACGTGCCAACTTCCAGTTCGGGGGAGCGGGGAGTGTCCACTAGTCAATTGTTTTCCCCTACCGCATGTATCATTGTTTTGGAACCAGGCTAGCAATCATATTGATACGTGCGTTAATCGGAAGAAGATCCCTGGAACGTTCTTCGCACAAGATGCGGGAGCCCTGCAATCTAAGCAGTCGGCGCTATTGGCAGTCCTGCGCTCGTTGCAGCATCGAAGCCATCGACGCCGCTGGCGGAGAGCGCGAACGACGC